GTACATTATTTAACTACTGTGAATAGACTCAATCTAATAAATATCTGTAGAGGAAAGTACTCAGTGATCTCCGAGGAGTATTCTTATCCTTTCAGAAAAAGGATATATAAGGAACTCAAGAAATTAGACATCAAAATAATCAACAGTCCAATTTAAAAATGGGCTATAGAGCTAAACAGAGAATTCTCAACAGAAGAAACTCAAATGGCTGAAAGACATTTAAGGAGTTGCTCAACATCTTTAATCATCAGGGAAGTGCAAATCAAAACAAGTCTGAGATACCATCTTACATTCATCAGAATAGCTAAGATCAAAAACACTGAAGACAGCTTATGCTGTAGAGGATGTGTAGCAAGGGGAATAGTCCTACATTGTTGGTGGGAATGCAAACTTGTACAACTACTTTGGAAATCAATATGGCACTTTCTTAGAAAATTGGGAATCAATCTCCCTCAAGACCCAGCTATACCACTCTTGGGTATATACCTAAGGAATGCTCAAACATACAACAAAAACGCATGCTCAACTATGTTCATAGCAGCATTATTTGTAATACCCAGAATGTGGAAACAACCTAGATGCCCTTCAAACGAAGAATGGATTAAGAAAATGTGGTACATATACACAACGGAGTACTACTCAGCAGAAAAACAACAACAATGACATCATGAGGTTTGCAGACAAATGGATGGAACTAGGAAAAATCATCCTGAATGAGGTACCCAGACTCAGAAAGACAAACATAGTATGTACTAGATGTAAAGCAAAGGATAAACAGACTGCAACTCACAACTCCAGGGAGGCTACCTAGTAAAGAGGATCCTAAGAAAGACACAAGGATCACCCAATGACAGAGAAATGGATGAGATCTACATGAGCAACCTGATATTTCTAGTCCTTAGAATGTTTCCTGACATATTCATGCTCAGAAAGAACACTTTCCACCCACAGTTCAGAAATCCCCTTATTTTTTCTGCATGTAATATAAAGACATTAGATATTTATCTCTTCTCTAAAACAAAAACATTTACCTCTTAAATCAAACTTGAACTTCTTTGCTGCACCATGAGGCATGCCAGTGCTGAGCTTACTTTTCCCACAAGTGACTGGCTTTCCCTGCAATGCTTATAGATCAATCTTTACATTTTCCAGAATCCTCTTAGACATCGAATATGATATCGGATTCCATATACCCAATTATCTATGCACAGCTTTGCCAAGATGTGTGCCTTCTAATCAGTGTTCCCGACAACCTTGCTGCCACACATTCACAGGATAGAACATCTATATCCTCCACTGCCCACGGCTATTCTCAAACGTCTTCCAAGCTGGTCCATCCACTAAAACAGAAGCCCTGGATTCATAATAGTTAGAATCTGATGACTATTATTGTTTTCTCTGCTTCCTTTCTGGCTTGTGACTCTCACCTTGATTCTGATGTATTGTAATCCTTTGTAACTTGACCATGTATTCATATATGAGCCCAAGTTCAGATCCTTCTCCAGACAGCAGTACAATGACTGCTTCGACAGTGTCCTTCCTCTGCCCGGTCTTCAGTGACTGCCTCTCTCACTCATAAGAGCAGTGAGGTCCTTTTTTAGCTCCTCTCCTATGCTCTGCTCTTCTTTCACTGAAGACCAACTGCTGTGGTCTGGGCACCTCTAAGAAACACCACATTCTCTTTACACCTTTATTTGGGATGCTCTGCCCTCAGTAATGAACATGACTCATACTCTCCTGTCCTGAAGGTTTGCCCAAGTGCCACTTCCTCAGGGAAACATCAACTTGTTCAGCACGGGACTTAAAATTGCAGACTCCACCTCCTTCCATTCTACCTAAATCTCTTCTGCCAACTCCAGATTTTGTTTTGCTTTTTAGCACATAAAGTTCCCATACATCCTATTTTTTTCCATCCATCTTGTTTCACATCAAAGCTCCCTGAGGGCAGGAATGGTGTGCCATCTTTTCACTGACTCTTCTGTCTTCTACTTTTACACTTCTCAGTTGCATCAAAGCATTCCCTGATGTCTCCATTTCATTCAGTGCCATAAAAACACAAGTGTAAGCATTAGCCTATGTTATATATTCTAAGCACTGGAGTCGATTATAAGTTTGAAGGGTTGTTTTTGTTACTTGATTTAATTTAGTGGGATTTTAGTCTACTTTTGAAATTTAGTAATGGGAAGATCCAGAAAAGGTATTTATGTTGTCCTTCTGTACTATGGTGTCCTTCTGTCCTGTGTATCATATGAGTCTTTAAAAATTAATTTGATGACAAGATCCTGGGACCATTACAGATGTTTCCTATTTGAAGACTGCCAAAGAAGAATCCTGAATTTCTTTACAGAACTTCTCACATTTTACTGTAAAATATAATGTAACGGAGTGTATAGCATCATTATTTATAGATGGTCTTCTTTATTTCTGTTTTCCATTATAAGATTTTTATTTAAAGTCCAGCACGTTATCCTAAGACTGATCATGTCTAAATGCAAATGCAATATTTTCAGTCTACTCCCTGTCAAAGTTCCACACTTTTAGAAGTAAGTCTTAAAAGTTAATTGATGCCTGTTACTTGGAAATCTTCCTTTCATGTGAGGGTGACAAAACCCAGGCACAATTACTTGCCTGTAGCTTTAA